AATCAGCTATGGTCATTAAGTGCAAAAAGATCCAGCATTTATGATACAGTTTTATAATTGCATATAATTGCACTATTCATCTTGGTAGAGTTTTAATAAACTTGACATAAACAAGCATATTTAAAAATTTTGATAAAATCTTTTTGTGTTTTCCAACCTTTAGGATTTTAATTACACGGACAGATTTCATATGTAGGCAAGTAGAAGCTAGGCCACTATCCCTTATTCAGACAGATTTTTATCAATGAATTTCTGAGGTATGTATTTAAAACATTACACAAGTTAAAGACTTCTTAAATACTTTGGAAACATATTGGCCAAGGTCTTTGCACACTTGTTTTCTCTTTCACAGGATAAATGGTAGTGCATAAGTATATTTACAAAAGAATACTTGAAATAACACTGCAGGCAGTGGCAACAGGGCAGAATTGATGACTATACTTGGCATCTGGGTGCAAGCACTGTATGCATCTGGTATAGCTGCTTTTCTTACTGGCTCTTTCAGCAATTATCTCTGATGTTCTTATGACTTCTCTGGCTTACTCATCCTGCTTTAGCTAGATCCTAACTGCAGAGCATGCTATCCTAGAGAAACAATTAGAACACAAGAGGGTGGGTAAAAGAGCTTGTTGAATTTTGCATACGCAAATCAGGAAGGGACCCTCTCCCTGTCCTCTTCCGTAGTTTGTCAGGGAGACTGCAGATCGAATATATCTGAGATTCTAATTTGATACTGAAGCTTTTGGGACTATGTCTGAAGAGCTGCATTTTTCAAATAAAAAGTAGTATAAAAACTCTTCAGTGAAAATTTACAACATATATAATTTGATTAACATTTGCCCTTGTTATTGTTTCCTTATGAGATAGAGGGAATGCAGGGAACCAGGAAAATGTTTTGGTTTTTAAAGCAGGGAACATCTTCTAATGAAGAGTGGCTGTGCAGGACAGCTCCTGAGAGCGAAGGAGCTAACAGTCTAATGCATCATCTTAATATGCATCCACCCACATGCATTTGCTCCCATGAAATGTGCTTCTAAGTGACTTTGAGGTAGGGAGGCAAATGCTACGACTAATGATAATTGGTCCAGATTTTTAAAAATCTCTATAATTATGCTTAAGGAGATTAACTGAGAAGATGCTATATCCTTTGAGTGTTGTGTGTTCTTTGTAAATGATGATAGAAAATTGCCAACAAATACATCTTCTGAACCTCTAACAGACTGCCTGTTCCTAGAGTCTCCAGTATTCTTGTAACTGATCTTTCCTTTCAGTGCATTTGCAGGATGCCAACTCTATGCTAGGCACTGTACTTGATATTGGGGCTACAGATGGGAACAGGGAGGAGTCTTTTCCAGTCAACCAGTAGGAGGAGGACTATTTTCAAGGTCACAGCATAAACACGGAAGTCACTTGGTAGCATCAGGTTTACTCACCTATTTTGAGGGGAAATTTAAGTAAAATTAACGTTTATTTATGTATTTAAACAAGGACAGTGAATAAAAGATAAACATGTGGGCTGACCCACAAAGGGACAGGGGACAGTGCACAGAGATTTACCCTAACAAAAACTATTCAAAAAGACTTACAAAGATTTGTATACATTTACAAGTTTGAGAATTCTTTTTGTTATGTTCTTAAGAGACACAAATCAAAGCATCTGACAAACTTAAATGTAAATGACAAATGTATACTGCCTTGACAATTTAGGAAGATTCTATCTCTAAATAAAAAATAAAAAGGCTTGGGGATGTAGCTCAGTGGTAGAGCACCACTGTGTTTGATCCTTATCACTGCAAAATAGTATAAAATTAACTACTATAATTTCCACATGACAATATTTGATGTATTCCTTTGGGTGATACGTGGCAGGCCCTTTCCAGATTTCTCCGGTGTTGCAGTTACTGGCATTAGAAATATATGAACAGAAGAAATATATGCACAGTGTGGACCTCTACTATAGAAATTTTTGGTCTTCAGTATAAGTAGGAAGCAAATTTCCATCAAGATGAAAAGCTCATTAATTTGAAATTTTAATTTTCAAAAGACAAATGTAGAAATGGCTTTTATTTTTCTTCCGTATACTGGTGTCTATGGAAGTTGTCCTCAAAATTAATTCTCAGAGAACAAGAATTGTGGGTGTCTACCCAACAGTAAGCTCTTTGTCTGTACTGATCCAGAGCTTTAATCATATTTTCCTTCATTTACTTTTTCTGCATGTGCAGTGTGTCTCATTTGGAAACAGTCTGCATTAATGGTTACGGAACTGTCCATGGCCCAGATGTCATGTGCCTATTTTTTACATTAGAACTAGTAGGTCTAGTGTGATGTATAGTGTGCAAAAAGAAGAGCAAATATTTGACATTGGGACTTTTAGAATCCACAAGGCAAGTTGCCATAGTTCTGGGGACAGTGACAGCTTGAATGCAGTAGATAAACAACAAATGTTTTTAGTACTAAAATTGGATGGCAAATGGTATTACTTTTGTTAACATGATCCCATGGGGTCCTCAAGAATTAGAGTCTAACGTTATAATCATGTTTTCCTTGCCTTTTTGCCAAGGTATGACCTACCGGTGATGGCTAACCTTTGAGAGCTTTCAGTGCTGCTAAACAACAGGTTGTAGTGTGCATGCCACAGGTGCACCACCACTGAATATCTTAGGTACTCCCACCTCCAGGCAGAGGCAGAGTGAATGCACAAACTCTGGTTTCTTAACAACATCTCCAAGCATCACCATTTTTCTTGTAGAATCGTGTTGTGTCTGGAATCTCTTTAACATTTTTATCTTTTATTAACTGTCCTTGCTTAAATACATAAATAATGACTGCATCTATTAAGCACTAATTTTACTTAAATTTCCCTCAAAATAGGTGAGTCAACCTGATGCTACCAAGTGACTTCTGTGTTTATACTGTGACCTTGAGAATAGTTTTCCTCCTGCTGGCTGACTGTGATCTTCTGGGGGAGAAGACTCCGCATTCCCATCTGTAGCCCCAATGTCAAGAACAGTGCCTAGCATAGAGTTGGTATCTTGTAAATGAATATTGAGTTATGTACTGATTTGTATGGCCCATTAGTGTATATCTGTCATGGTCAATATTTAGGAACATGCATTCATATTCCTGAAAAAAACCTCTGTGTGAAAGAAACAAGAATGTATGTTTTCTTCTTAGCCTTCAATCACTGATTCATCTAAATGTTCACGGCATACACATGTAAGAAGAATGCTGTTTGGATACAATGCTTTATGTAATCATTGTCAAAGTGACTTTGGATTCAAAATTTTCCTAAAATGACTAGGTGGTTATAATCACCTAGTCATTTTATTTTGCATCCTTCTATTTTCAAAGTTCTTTTTATGTATAATTTTGAAAATCTTCAATATCTCATATTTCTTCATATTTGTTAAACAGGTTTATTTTATGATGAATGTTCTTATTTGACAGCTGTAACTTGGTTTCTTTCAGCACACTTTGGCCCAAATTGGCTGATTGTCTCTTGAATACAGAGATTTTTGCTTATGAATTCATGTTCCCTTGAACTTCATGAGGTTTATCTGAGGCCGGATATAAAGCACATTTTCCAAACAACATTCATGCTTGCTTCTCCTAGGTATCTGGAATGATTTTAAAATCCATTTGGATTTTTTTTTTTTAAGCTAAGCAGATGGTGCGAATTTTGGCCTTAATGCCATGCAATTCAGACTCTTGGTTATAATTTGCCAACTTTTCCCATGCCACTCACCCCTGACTTTTATCAGGCGGAGTCTATCCTTCTTCTTCTTCTTTTTTTTTTTTTTTTTTTTTTTTGGTACAGGGTCTCACTAGGCAACTCAGACTCATAGTGATCCTCCTGTTTTCAGCCTCCCTAGTGCTGGAATTACAGGTGTGTGCCACCATGCCTTGACTCAGTGGCCAGTTCAATATGCCCTGGGGTGGGGTGGGGCCAGGATTGGAACCCCAGTCCCTGTGCTTGCCTAAGCAAGCACTTAGTCAGATTCTGTCATTCTAAGTTTCTCCTATCTCTTTTTAAAAATGTTCTTTGCATTCCTAAAGACGTCAGTTATTGGGGGCATTCCAAATCCAACTTAGACCTCTGCCTTAACACCAACGCTGACCCCAGCTTTGTCTCTTGTCTCTGGGGGCCTAGATACCTGATCGCACCCTTCTGCCTCTAACTAACTATATGCGACAGGCAGATGCCCTGAAGGCATCATGCAGGGGTAGGAAGATGAGGAAAGATACAAGAATTATGATCTGCTCCATTTCCTCATTGATTTTGGCCTCTGGTAAACTTCTTTTTTTTTTTCCTCATGAATATATGCCTTTGAAAATAATATTAAAATACTATACAGTATTTTGCACTTCAGTGAAATTGGGGAACATCTCTAACCTTCTAGCCTGTTGAGGACAATAATGTCCTCAGTGTTTCCTGAATGTGAGGTAAGGAACATTACTGATTTTCATGCTGGAAAACATCCTTCTTAGTAATGAAAATGGAGCATACTTCTGCACGCTTACCTCATATCTCAAACTCCTGAGGACAGGTATTTTCAGGGTGACTGAAATTCTTAGAATCTCTGAGTTCTTATCTGTAATAAGATGGTGTTAGATTAGGTGGACTTTATAGATGTTTCTAGCCTCTAAGCTTTTTGTTTTTCTTTTTTAACCACATCAGCCTTGAACTACTACAACTTTTTCCTTCTTCTATTGTTATGCTGAGTGATTCAGCTGGTGTCACCAGCCCAACTATCTGTTATCCGAGCCTTATTGCTGGAAATGTCTGTCAGTCTCTACCTCTCTGTCTCTCTTCCTTTTTCTCTGTCTGTGTCTGTCCGTCTGTCTGTCACTCTCTCTCCCCCCCTCTCTTTTCTTCTTCTTCTTCTCTCGCTCCCTCACCCTCCTTCCCTCAGCTCTGATGATAATCTAGTGCTTTACTCTAAAAAAACAAAACAAAACACACAGAGCATTTAGGTGAATGTATTCTCTGTCCCCAACAGGTCGCTTCCCTCGGAGTCACTACATTCACCTTATGTGCTCTGTGTATAGACCGCTTCCGCGCTGCCAGCAACGTACAGATGTACTACGAAATGATTGAAAACTGCTCTTCGACAACAGCCAAGCTGGCCGTCATATGGGTCGGTGCTTTACTGCTGGCACTTCCAGAAGTTGTTCTCCGTCAGCTGAGCAAGGAGGACCTGGGATTCAGCGGCCGAGCTCCTGCAGAACGATGTGTCATAAAGATCTCCCCCAATTTACCGGACACCATATACGTGTTAGCGCTCACCTACGACAGTGCGAGGCTGTGGTGGTATTTTGGCTGTTATTTCTGTTTACCCACCCTTTTCACCATCACCTGCTCTTTAGTGACTGCGAGGAAAATCCGCAAAGCGGAGAAAGCCAGCACACGAGGGAACAAGCGGCAGATCCAACTAGAAAGCCAGATGAACTGCACAGTGGTAGCCCTGACCATTTTATACGGATTCTGCATTATTCCTGAGAATATTTGCAACATTGTCACTGCCTATATGGCTACCGGGGTTTCACAACAGACCATGGACCTCCTGAACATCATCAGCCAATTCCTTTTGTTCTTTAAGTCCTGTGTCACGCCCGTGCTGCTTTTTTGTCTCTGCAAGCCCTTCAGCCGGGCCTTCCTGGAGTGCTGCTGCTGTTGCTGCGAGGAGTGCATTCAGAAGTCCTCCACAGTGACCAGTGATGACAACGACAACGAGTACACCACCGAGCTGGAGCTCTCCCCGTTCAGTACCATACGCAGGGAGATGTCCACCTTCGCTTCAGTGGGAACTCACTGCTGAAAGGAACTAGTTGGTTTGGTCAGATCTGTTTGTTTGATTTTCATATCCTTGAACATTTTTACCTAGTATTTTTTCCTTACGTGGAAAACACGCAAAAAATAAATTAATAAACCAAGCAAAGGAATACATATTAACAACTATAGAACTGATTTTGCAAATTAATATTTGTGCTCCGAAAAAGAAAGTGTTTATATTTAGTTATTGAAGAAGAACCAAAAGGCCAATAGTTTTAGATCATTTTATCTGGTCTGGTGCTAATATTTTATTTGGAAAAGTTACTGCACCTTAACTTAATTAATTGGCTAGATTTCCTTTCAAAATGTAGTGTTGTATATTGATTATAGCTATCTGGATTTGCAAGTTATTTTATGTTTAAATTGTGACTGCACATATATTGTATATGATACTGTAAGATAATCTGTATGTAGAGGCATTCACAAAGTAGCACCAAATAAACTACACTTTATTCTTTAATGCCATTGTCAATCTACTTTTAACCAAGATTCAATAAATCTTTTAATTGCCTTAAAGACACACTTACTGGTTCTATGCACAATTTAAAACTGGCCTTACTGTTTTATTATATTCTCCTCTAAGGCAGGCAATAACTGTTATAAAGGAGTTTTCCTAATAGTACTATTTTATATGCATGATTCATAAAGTATATTGTATCTTTAAGAACTGTTTTTAATATTCATATAGATGTACAGTTACATCTGAATATTTATGAATTATGAATAAATAGCAGGGTAGGAAGAAAGTATCTTTATTTTTTAAATTCATCTCTGAACTAGCATGAAGAGCTACAGGTTTTCCCATGGGGTATTATGGACAGAATCAGGGATTTTAAAAAAGACATGTGACATCAGTTGGCTTCTGAATGCTGGCCTTTGAAGCTTTCTGAACCCTACATGAAGCACTCTGAATTCCAATGTTCCCCCTCTTAAAAAGTTCAGTTGATTAAAACTATAAAACTAATTTCTTTAAGTGGAATGAAAGTATAGTAGCACAATAATAAACTATGTATTTATATAGCTTGATTACAACACTTGAATATTCAAATACTATCTTTAAACTGACACTTCATGAATTCTTAATAATACCCTAACCCTCTCCTTTTGGATTACATGCAACCCCCTTGCCTCTCTGGGAATTTTAAGTTGCAGCAATTGTGTTGGATTCCTGACATATGGAACATATGTCTGAATGAGATGGCAGAGATGGTGACCTGGTGACACGGTGATATTTAGAAGCTATAAAAGTTGTGATTGAATGTCTGTCTTCAGTAAAACATTGTATGATAAGTGAACCCAATTTTCTATCTGGGAGAATGTGTTTTCCTTTTGTGGATTTCTTTACTATTCGGAGCAACTGATTCAGTGCCTTCCTTCATCCTAAGAAGGATGTTATTTAAATTCACTAAAATTCGGTAGTAGAAAAATGAAATAAAGAGAACTGAACTAGACCAGTTAGTTACCTTCCAGAGCAGCCTCTGCTAACTAAGAGAGAGTACCCAGACTATCATCTTTCATGGGCTGTTTTTGCCATTTCTGTTTTGTAAGGGACTTAAGGGAGGCTGAAAACAAGGCATCCTTGTTTTCTTTCCAATACCTGTTTGCTCAAGCGAACATTTGAGGACACCTCGGTGTGGGCTGCAGAGCAGGTACACAATGGGGATTGCACTGTGCCTCTTCTGATGCTTAATGTACACATCCAGAAATATGCATGGGAAACATGTACAGAGTTGCTATGTAATTGCCTGTAGTGAATAAAGATAAATAGAATTCAGGCTCAGATCATACAAAACCAGTTGAGAGGTGAATTGGCAGGTAAGAATAAGGCAAACACACAATCAATTATGATATCACCTAAGACCTTTCGGGTGCCACAAGGAAGGAGTACGACTTATTCATAGTAAAGGAAAAAGAAAGAACAAGTCAGACTACAGAAGAACCTGACAGATGTTATGAGATAACTAGCGGTAAGCTCTCAGAAATAGGCAATGAAATGTTGCACGAGGAGTGAAAATTCCAAGAAGAGAGTAGCCAGCAGACAGGGAAAGGATTCCTTGAGTGTGGCTGAACAAGGGAAGACTAGACCAGTTTGGCTCCCATACTCCATGTGTATAGAAGCTGGGATGGTTTGAATATAGTGTAAGTGTGCCTTTCTCCATGTGTTGGAAAGTTGGGCCCAGGGTGTCAGCATTAGAAGGTAGGAAAGCCTCTGCAATCTGAAGCCGAGGTAGAAGCGCACAGACCATGAGGATGCTGTACTCATGGAGAAGAAGCATTTTGTTGCATAGAAACCCCGTTATCTCTGTGAGACCACAGCAGGTTGTTATAAAGCAAACCACCCCACGTACTTGGCCTCTTTTGCCTACAACTTATTCTTTTTCTACTTCACCATATTGCGATGTAGTCAATGGTTGTCTTATCAGAGGCCAGACAACTGGGGCACCCTGATCCTAACTGTCAGCCTCTGAAAGTGAGAGCTAAATAAATTTCTTTAGTTGATACAGTCAGTACTCAGTAGCAGGTATTTTGTTATGGATACAAAAATGGAGTGACAACAGAAGTCTTGTGAAAGATATGTAGGGAGGTTATATAATAAAAAGGTCATGTTTTGAAAGATGTTCAGTTGGAGTCTACGAAGTATACCTTTGTTTTGGGGGGATTTTGAGTATGGAGAAACAGCATCATGACTGCAATAGGAAGATAAACAGTCTGGTTAGGCAAAGGCTCAGCAGGAAGAGACAATGAGGAAGCTATTATATATACCAAGCCACAGTCGAAGCAGGAACATTAATTTCTTTTTCGTTTTATGCTTGCCTCTGGAAACACGTGCTTTCTTGTTGAATCCTACTTCTTTCAAAGTAGGAACTTTAATAACTCAGAATAAGTTGCCCAGAATATAAAGCGATTTGAAATTTTTCTCATAGTCTTGTTTTGCAAGAAAAGATATATATATATATATATATATATATATATATATATATTTGTACTGGGGATCGAACTAAGAACGTTGCACTTTTCAGGTGGGCACTTATGTAAATGATCTAGCTTATTAGTCCTATAACTTGTTTTTATATTGTTAGCTATTTTTGTTAGAATTTTCCCTGTTTGATATTCTATCTCCTGTCTTCCTCTACCTATTTGAAAAAAGAAACTCAAATCTAAGATTACACCCAATAGTCATTAGAAAGCTCTGTAAATGTTGTATGGTTACTTTAAGGACAACAAATTTGTGATTTCAAGACAGTCAATTTTTTTTCAAAATATGTGCATCTATTTCTATAACTATATCACAATGAATATGATTTAAAAATTCCCCAATTATTAACAATTTTGATCCCTTTAAATTCATCCCTTCAAATATCAATTCCATGAACATGCATAAATCTTTTTTGTGCCTGGTGCTAGAGCTTACCTGCTGTAGAATATGACTTAACTTTTTTTAATGTTTTGATTCCTGCCATTGAGTAGCTTATTCTTTGAAATTAAGACATATATGTAAAAAAAATGGATTTTGGAGAAAAAGTGGCATGACAGGAAAGTGAAGGTGAAGGGGTTTCTGAATGAGAAGGGCAGTGAAATTGGAAATGCCTAAGGGGAAGAAAGAGAAGTTAACAGGAGAGCAGGGACCTACGAGGAGGCTGTGGGAGCAGCCAAAACGGGCTTCACTCTTTATTCCAGATGTGACATCTGTGCATGGATTTAGACACAGTGAAATGATTTTTAATAACCTTTTAAATTTATTTAATCTTACAAAATAGCATCTAGTAGATTTACTCCTTTCAGCATATAGGTATGAGCACACACATTTGCATAATCATCAGCCCAAAGTACCAGGCAGTTTTTACATTTAAGAGCATTTGCCCAGTTCCCCTTTGCAGCCAAAATGACTCCTCCCTAGCTGATCTGTTTTGTTTTAAATAATTTTGCCTCTTGCAGTGTGCCATACTAATGGCATTATGCAGTATGTAATCCTTCTGAAGCAATTCTAAAAGTCCTCTTTCATGCATAGTTGTTCTGCTGCGGCTGCCTCAGTGTTTCAGTTGTGTTCAAAACACTAACTTGTCCTGGCCATTTAACCTTTGGAGAAGAGTCAGAAGTTGAATAGTGCCAGGTCAAGGGAATAAGGTCAGTGGGGACATACTGTAATGCTTCTAGTGCCTTCCTTTCTATTGGATGGCATTGAACACAGAAGCCACTGTAGGTTTTGTCATAGTTCATAAGGACACATAAAATAAGAGTTCCAATACTTTTTCAGAAAGTGACAAAGATGTTGCGATAAGTGTCTTTAAAATGAGGCGGAGTGTTTTGAGGGGCATTGATAGCAACAGGTCCTTTACTGTAATCAATTTTATTTTAATGCACACTGTATTTTTCAAGCATCCTTGTATATCAAAAAACATTTGGACCATTTCCAGATTTGGAATAAAGCCAGTAAAATGGTCATGTGTGAAATTTTATGTGAACAAGTTTTCATATCTTTTTGGTAAACAGGTAGGAGAATATGGGTGGCATACTAAGTGTGTATTTTAACTTTATAAAAAATTATCAATAAAGTTGCTATATTGTTTTATAATCTCAACAGCAGTGTATGAGAATTCCATTTACTCTACACTGTTAATGATATTTGCTATTACTAGTTTAAAAAAATAACTGTAGGCATTCTAGTATGTTTGTAATGCCATCTCACTGTGTTTCTGCATTTCTCTCATCAATTATATTTTTAAAAATTTAACAGAAATGTTTAAAGACAAGACGAATGATAAACATGCACATACCATTTTCATAAAATCATTCACTACTTGGTAAGTTTCAATGTTATTTTATTTTATTATTGTCACTTCTCATCCCTGGGACACAATATCCAACACCTACAACTTAGAGGACAGATTTATTTAGGCTCATAGGTTTTCTGAAGATTTAGTCCATAGTTGGTTCTCTGTAAGACTTGGCAGAAGGGCCTAGAAGAAGAAAGTTTCTCTATCCAGGGAAGCCAAGAAACAGAGATCAAATGGGAAGAGAAGAACTGTGGAGAGATACACTCTCTCCAAAGGCACTCCTTCTGTGACATATTCCTTCCCAACAAGCTCCACATCTTAAGAACACTTTGGCTATGAACTCATCAGAGGACACTCCATTGATAAATATAATGGACCTGGAATGTAGTCATCTTCCTGAAGTTCTACCTTTGAAAAACTGAGACCTTGGGGGGACAGTCTATGTGCAAGCCGAAACATTCATTATTTGAAAACGTTAAGTGGCTTCCTCCATAAACATATCAGCATATTATCTATTAAGAGCAAGAATGTTTTCCTGATCATCCAGTATTATTATCTGATACAAGAAATTAAATTTTGAAACAGAATTATGTACTAATATACAGTTAATGTTCAAATTTCCCATATTATCCTCTATTCTGTCCATTATAGGAAGTCCTTGTAGAACATTTCCTCCTCATTTC